GCAACTGACTTTATCTTTAAACGGCGAGCGTCATTCTGCGTCAACGTCGCACAAACAGCCCAGTTCGTCAACTGAGCTGGTTCCAGGAACTTTGAGCGATCTCCATTCCACTTGCACTTAAATAACAAATATATTTTCCTTTATATGGGAATTTAATCTGGACTCTGCTACTGACGGGTTACTCGCTGTGAATAACGCCAACCAACGGTCAGCACTCACATTGTCCGTTGGTTTTACGCTTTGTGACCCTGCATAGACGATGGTTGGTGCCGGTAGGATACGGCCAGTGACCTGAACAAAATTTGGTAGCATTCTGAACCTCCTCAACTCTCCTTGGGGACCAAATACGTACGGTCGTGAATTCTTTCGCAACACTGATGCCTGCACTAGCGAGGTTTGGATTACGTGGAGTGATGTCCAAGGCGTCCTTCATTTTCCTGGTTTGATGCAAACGGTTATCGGGGAGCGTCGCCGATGCCTGAAACGGCAAACTATCTCAGTGGAACGGCCCCCCAAGCAAGGATTTGGCTTGAGCTACCTTGATCATGGAGGCAACTTGTTCGGGCGTCTGCTGCTGAAGTGTGACTCGCTGCGAAGGTGCAACTGTGAGCAGTTCAACAGGATAGTGGCTATGCGGATTGTGCCTCTCCGACACTGTGAAGAATCCTGGATACCTAGAATTGTAATGACTATTTAATACTTACGCGAAGGCGCTTTCATTCATTTCCGGTGAAAATAACAGGTAAAATGGTACACAAAACGCACCTCAGTTGGATGTTATAGTGCTCTTTAAAGTACTGCTCAACTGTTAACTGCTTGCCATCAGCAGTTTCAAACCTGAAGGATATCTTATGCAGTGATTCCTTTCGGTTATCCCAGCGCTAACGTAGTTGTAGGGGGACACAACAGCACGCTTTCATGTCCCTTGCCCCGACCCAGGTCTTTGTTTAGAAAGCGTGCATACATTTCGGCAGCGTGCTCAGAGATTTGGGGAGTGTAGGTTTCATCCAGCGTTTTGGATGCCCGCCAGCGTTTTAAGTTACAAGTAAGATTTCTGTATCGGCCATCGTCAAAAAACTCAGGCTGATGTTCAAAACTCCTACGCTAAAATCGCTTGAAGGCAAAGCCCGCAACCAAACAATACAGGTAGCAAATACGACAAAGTGCTAGGTAACTGATTATCGCAGAAAACATGGAGAAAAAACAGTTCGAAGTACCCTTAATAGGACTCCATACGACCCCAACTTGTACGTGCATGCAATGAAGAGAAGGCGTGTTTGTACGAATTTCCACTCGTCGTTATCATAACGATATCAGCTCTTTTATCTTATCACCTCACTCTCACCATTCGGAATGGAGAGAGATAGCATAGTGGCTACTAGCTAGTAGCTAGCAGCCAGTGGGGTCGGCATGGGTCCAAGGGCGGCCAAAGTGGTCAGCTTTCAGCGTAGTTCCTACCAATTTTCACTTTTGAAGGTAGCACAGCCTCCAGAATCGCCCTGCGGATCATTTGACGCAGCTGAGGGGTCATAGCTTCATTTTATCGCGGAAACGATGATAGGCATTCAGAAACGCTGCCGCAACGTATGAACGCGCTCTTAGACAGCAGGTGAGCCGCTAAAGGAATCTCGCAGAGTGGACATATGTCCATCAACTCTAATGACCTCCGTTCAGGAACATGGGGAAGGAACACAGAAATGCTGCCGTGTGTCTCTCTCCCCTCCACTACCTCAACATCGAATCCCTTTGCATGTGGCAAGGCACCCAAACACAACTAACTTCAATACGTTGGCAGCATCCGCAAGATTTCCAATCGGAAAAGTCTTTTTCTTTCCATACGTCGTTCTGACATACAGACCTTAAACACTTCTTTATACATTCCAACCAATTGTGGACATCTGTCAACCATTGTCGCGCGTGACGTTTAGTTGAGCTTTTGAGAAACGAGAATGAAGAGAGAAGAAGAACGGGTGGAGAAGAATGCTCGGGATGCTCGGAGGATGACAGATATCTTGAAGCCAACGTCACCATCAAGACACACCTTTGATTTGCTTCAAAATGTTTTCCTTATTGTACGGCTGCATTGCTGCCTTCACGGTGAATGTTGATTGGCCGGTCCGTGGATCAACAAAAATGGACAGTTGCGAGATTTTCTCGAGCAGGTTCTGTTCATCCACATGAAACGCACCTTTGGTTACTGAAAATAATGCAGTTAAAAACAGTTCCACTATTTTTGCGTCAATTCAACCCCTGAAACTACATACCGTCTGTAACAACAAAGGCGCTTCCTGTTTTGCTACCTTCTCCTTCAAGAACCTTCACTGCCTTTGTCACTCCAATCCCCGAATACTTCCCATCCGTGAGGTTAGGCAGCTCACTATCCCTGAGAAAATCAAAATCATAAAACGAATACTATGAGAAGTCTGGTGATAGACGGGTACGGTTATAATTAGAGAGCATCAATCAATAAATATCACCACATGAAAGCATAAAGACCAACAAACTCTCATGACAGAGCGATCTCGCTTCTCGAAGTATTCTTTACACATTTCCGTTTAATGGAAGTGTCAGCTCCAATTGAGCATGCAAGAATACGCACTTATCGACAGACATCTGGCTTTTGCCTGTACCCAATTATGCAGTTACACCCCTGGACTGTTTTTCTAAATATTAAACGGCGTCCATACTTTGCGAATAAGGAGTAACGCGACCATGGAGAATCCGCGACAAAGTAGTGGAAGTCTCAGACGTATATTCGCGCATTCGACATACATATCTTACTTGATTGTCAATTTTCTTGAAACGGGGCTACCCCTCACTCATAAAATATGAACGCGGCCTCAAGCCACTAAAACTGCGCACGCCGCCCTACAGCTTCCACTGTACACCAGGAAAACAAAGATTACTCAAACCCGTCCCCTTAGCAACATATCTACAACTTGATGAAACTGACAACAGTGTTAACCACTCGACCTTGTCCATACAAACAGATCGATGGCTGCCGTTAGAAACTGCTGTGAATATCATGTATTATAAATAAAACAAGTTACCTGAAGCCCAGGTCACGATGGTCATATAGGTAGTGAACTCCGGAGCCATACGTCACAAACTGGTCCCTGAAACTACGGCACATCACAATGAGAGGACGACTGGCCCGGCCTTGATACTGCATTTTGTGAGTTTTCATTCGTCACTTAACTGAAAATAGCATAATACTCACGTCTCCGTGTACCCTTTTTGCGCCACTGCGAGGTTCAGCACTTCGAGAATGCCTTTGTCACGTTCGCAGTCACGGACATTCACAGCCTTTATTCAAATCGTTTGAAGTCACCTGAAGGAATGCGGATCACTCGACCTGCTTCGCACTGGGGTGAAGAAAGAACCACTCGGTCGGGCCAGCACGTCTCTATCACAACTGAAACTACGCTCAGACTTCGCGACGACATACTACAACGCTGTCAATGCGCTTAGCACAGCTGGGGTGCTACCGCTACTCCAACTTTTTGTATTCATCTACATCTTATAACTATCGACCTATTCGACAATTCACTATTTATAGTTCAACCCCCCCCCTTTATGTAGCAGTTTCTATTCCAGTGTAGCTCTCAACACTCCTTCCTTTATTACATAATCACCTTTTCATTTTACTTTCTATTTTAGTCTGGTGCCACATTTCTTGGCCGCTAATGGATGTAGGGGCGTCCATTCCAGAACGGCTCTGCGTCTCTTTTCCCCGCCAATGCTTACTTCAAGAGCAGGCAGTAAGAGCCGTGCAGACTGTACGCTCTGCTAGAGAAAACCTCGTTCATCTGCGCTCCAAACTGCAGTTAAAAAAGGGTAAGTAGTCATTGTAGACAGATTGATATATTGATGCTGGAGCGCTACCGCAGGTGGCGCCTCAGCATTGTCAAGCGTCGTCGCGAAGTCTGAACAAAGGGTATGTGGCAAGAGAATCGTAATGCCTAAGCGTCGCGTGCAAGCTCGCGCCTGCTAATGACGATGATTTGAGGTGGTGCTGGTCGAGAATAGACAGTGTATGACCAGTAATAGACATAAGTGTCTACCATGTCTTTGTCTGCATAAAATCCGATGCTCCAATCGAATCGGTAGTGCATGACGTCGCGCACACTGCCGCGCGCGACGAAGCAGCAAATTACAATTCTCTTGCCCGTTTCCCTTGGACACAGCCTAAAATGGTACCGACAAGCTAACTGAACTTACTTGGTATCCATCAGTGACCTTTTTGATGACGACACGAATACCCATAGCATCGCTACCGGCAGCTGGCACCAGACTTGCGGGCAACATCATCACTTTTTCCTACAAAAGCTGTTTCTAACAAAAACCAAGACGAGAAAAAAACAAAGGGAAAGCTAAGGTATACCTCTCCTCCGAGTTTAAGTTCCCTCTGAGCTGAAAAGAGAACAGCAGCCCTGTCATAGAAGAAAGTCCCATCCTTAGGGAAAACGTCTGCGAAAGACTTCAAAATATGCTTGTATACAGCTACCGCGGCGACTTTGCGTTCCTGTTCAGGGAAACTGAAAAAATTTTCTCAATTTACTATCATAGAAACGCACATAAGGTACGATACGAAATAAGAAGCATACTCGTCTTTCGTTTGCTTGGTTAGTTCCTTCAAGTGCTCTCGTCCATCATTCCCCTTGTACACGATGTACATGCGCACGTCGTACTTGTAATACGGCACATTTGGCTTCAATTCTGAAGTGGTCGTGAAATTGTTACTGTTAGGATTGTATGAAAAAACTTATAGGCGATCAAAGAACTCACGTATGGCAGTCAAGTTGGTCACGAGTTCGTACTTTGATCCAAGTTTCCCAGGAGCTCGTTTCTCGGGCAGCGCCACAGCTTCTACCTAGAAATAAACATTTGTTTTGAGCGGTACAAAGCCTGCTCCTAGCCTGATCCGGTAAGACCATTTCGATGAACTGAATGATGCTCCGGAGACGGACAAAAGGATCGTAATTTGCCGCATTGTCGCGCGGCTCGCCGTCGGGCCATGAGCGCGGGAAATTTTCACGTCGCAATCCGTCTCAGGGCACTTGTCAACCGAGAAGCCTCTCCTCTCTTTCCTTTTTTCTTCCTCCCTCCTTCTTTTCCTTCCTTCCTTCTCTGATCCCTCCTTTACCTTCTCCCTTCAACTACTGGACTGGTAGATGCCTCGTGAAAATAACCCTGGACCCTCGCAGCGAGAGCACGCAAGTATTTCATGCGTTTTTGACTATTTCCTGCACTGCCTATTGCTGCGATTAGCAGATTATATAAAGCAACAACAGCACCCTTCCCCATCTCATTGAAATTCGAATGGCTAAGCAAGAGAATTTGATCTCAGCGACGTGGCGTCGCTCGCCATATCTTCCAGCGCAGCAAACTACGATTCTCTTGTCATATACCCATGTCGTGCCCATACTTTGCCATATTTGCGAACAAGGGAATAGAATATAACGCTGAATGAAAGTATACGCATTCATGTAGTGAACGGAGATTTCCAAAAGAACGGAGAAGGCGCGGATCGAATGCGCGCCGAAGAAGAAATGGGAATTGATCGATTGTTATTCTGCGATCGATCGCGAAACGCCGTTCAACTCCCTGGCGCATTTTCGGTAGAACGTCCATTCGCGATGCACTTTGTTCCTCACTAAGAGAATGCCAGAATGAAAAATAATTTTTTCCGGTGGTTGACTTTTCGTGGTTTTCCCGTCTCATTTGTGTGGTGTCCTCCCCCTGCTCAACAGCAAAATTTTGGTTCAAGTTCATACTAGAAAATCTTCGGTTTAATTCCGGGAAAAGTGGTGAGGAGTTGGGAAATTCTAGGAAGGTGGGTAGGATAAGGAAGGGGGGGGGGTAGCGTCGTATTTTCCTCACGCTTTTCCGTTTCACATATACTATCATATGTATCTCCCCCTCCTCCTTCCGCCGGACAAATCGTATCAGAGAAGGGGATTAGGGAGAGGGGGATCGTACGGACTCGACAAAAATCCCCAACCAGTGATGTGCCATGTCTTCCAAAATGCCATTTTGTTACAAATACTTCCCCAGCAAAAAAAAATGAATGCGCCCCAAGCATTGCTCATTTATAGTGTAGTTCGCTGCCGACGGTAGGGCGTGTCAGTGCGGCTGCGTTTGGCGCGGTGCCAGACTCATTCTCCACCAGTTGTTGAAGCGGGCAAGTCACAATACTGTACCATATCTTTCGTATTACTCGTTTTCTACCACTTTTGCGCGTTTCAACAAGAAGGCAGAGAACGGCTTTGACGGGGTGACACACTCATACTGGCTGACACGCCCAACCGTCCGCAGCGAACTAGAGTGTAGATCATGTTCAAAATTTACTATCACTCGAATAATTCGAATCTGCGATTTTAGGGGGGGGGGAGAAGGGCAGCGATTGCGAGGATGAAAGCACTCCTACAGTACTCAACAGCTGAATCGACGTGGCGTGTCGGTGTGACGCCCATTATGGCACGCACCAGCTCGTTTTACTACTGCCGTTGCGAGATAAGGAGAGCAAAGATCGGTGGAAAATCAGCCGGCGCCCTTTCAAAGCCCACGCCACACTGACACGCCCTGTGATTCGATTACTGAGGGCTGTATCGTTCTGGAAAGTCCGCGATCGAATCCCATACGATCCTTTGTCGTCAACTGCTGCAATCGTCATCCATTCTTCGCATTCGCAATGTAAGAGCGCAGGTTACGGTGTACCCCAGATAGGGGTTGTGCTCATCCCGGACCATCTTACTGAGCAGCTGAAGTTCAGAGGCAGTTCCAATGAATAGGTACGTCAAAGGATCAGGTCCCTTGATTGTGAAGCCTCATCTGCTCAACTGCATCATGGACAGTTCCAAGTAATATGTAAAAAGGTTCCTTGCTTGTGCCAGGTCATTTAAGGGATCCTTTACAGTCGGCCACATCGAATATCTACTCGATCTGCAAAAGAGCCTAAACACCCGTTGACTGCGAAGATTAGAGGTGCCATGTGCTTTGAAAGGGCCTGCATTCCGTTGGGTCGTGTCGCTGCCACATGCCTGCATGGGGGCCCAGTAACATAACCTTTCTACATTAGAATATGACGTGACAAGCTCACCAAGAAGTGCACCCCCCGGGCCACCCAGCACCGTGCCGTTTATAAACCGATTCCCGTGTCATAAAAGACCCTTTACTACCAGATTTCTGCCGCGTCAGCTACGAGGAATGTTTGATAATCTGCCATGAACATGCGCATTGCCAGAAACTGTTATTTCCCCACTTCCGAAATCGAGCCAGCTTTTCGCCTTTTCCTGCGAAGGCAGAAGTTTGCTTTCAGGAGTAGTTCGAAGGCTGCAGTTTCCCGGCGCCTGCTCCCCGTAGGCGCTGGCGCCAGATGCTTTCAGGAGTAGTTCGTGGGTTGGAAGCTGCCTGGCGCCCGCTCCCCGTAGGCGCTGGCGCCAGATGACCCTAAATTAAATTCACTGAAAGCTACTTCCCATGGTACCTCCTGAACAGAATATCACATCCTTTGCTCGAAAACGCATGGCGCCGGCGCCAAAATACCAAAAATCATCAAGTTCGCTGAAAACTTAATCGTACGGGAAGTTTGGCCTCTTGAGCGAAGTCAGTCACATCCGCTTGGCTCAAAACCGATTGGCGCCGGCGCCGAATTACCCTGAACCACCAAAGTCGCTGACCCCAGGGCTAGTATGTCCTCCCGAGCATGAATATCACATCTTAATCAGGTGCCATTAGGGAATTAAAGGTGGAGGGAAAGGGGTACACGTAACAGTGCGGCCTGCTGCAGTTGTCTGCACCTTGCTCCACTTACAGCGATCCTTTCCTCTGAGCCTTAGCAAAGAGAAGGACTACGGGAAACCAGAAAGGGTACTGTCTCGTCTGGCCGTGTTCCTCTAACTGCCTTAACGCACCGCTTGGTACGAAACAGCCAGGAGTCCGCGCTCACACGCCACAGCCAAAAGAAGGATGTCGTGCCATTGTCTGTAGGACGGGCGACCAGCGATTTCGTACCAAACGAACGACGGGGACACCGAGCCACCCCTATGTGCAAGCTTACACCGATCTTGGTGGAAAAAGGGGTGGCGCCAAATGTCAACAGCGTCAAAAACTAATGCGATAATCGTGATCAGGACATCAAATAACCCCAGTGCGCGACTTCACCGAATTCGGTGAGAAAGGTGGTGACGCCAAACTGGCGCCGGCGCCTGTGGCCGGGACAGGCAGATTCAGACCGAGCCGATGTGACATTCGTGCCCATGAGGTCGAACTACTGCTAGAAGAGAGTTTTTAGCCGAATCTTTTTCGTAGAAGAAATGAGATCAAAAAGAGACCGATTTTGGGGGACTGTAGTGCTGACAGCTGAATAGTCCGCATCATAAAGAATAACAGTTCTCAAAAGAATTTGATGTAACTTTATAGAGTTAAGACTTACGTTAAGTTCCGACATTCCAGCATTGAGTTGGTCGGCCATTGCAGCTGTTGCTGTTACGTTTTTATCTGAAGAGAACTTAAGTTGGTTTAAGTAGGCTTGCCAAACTGCTGTGTCAGCGAATTGCTCTTATCTAAGAAGATGAGTAATTCTCGACGAAAATCTATCTAAGCGAAGCTCACGCGGCATTATCAAACTATTCCCGTTCAAAAACTTTTTTGCTGAAACTTTAATTGTAGGAGTAACTTGGAGCGCTCATTACGAATATGCATTCATTCCTGATGCTGGCGCTATTTGGCACCACTGGGCGCCGATTCGGCGCTGCCACCTTTCTTACTAAAACCGACGCAACCTTGTATACGGGATTATTCAATATTATGGCGATTTCGGACCAAGCGGATGTGGTATTTATGTTCGCAAGGTCAAAATACCCCAGGGACAGGTTTTCAGCGAATTTGATGACCAAGGGTATTCTGAGCGCCGGCGCCTATGGTGCGGACGCAGGCAGTTTCAGGCCTCGCGATGTTCATGTTCAAGAACTCAAACTACCCCAGGGGACACGTTTCAGCCGAATCTGCCTTCGTAGAAAAATCCGGTGGTGAAATAACTGGGTCCTGATTCCTCAGGCCAGTTTTTCAGCCGGATCAGGTCGCAGACGATTGCGGCGACATCGCGAATGAACATGTGCGATTGTAAAGAAAGCAACGCAAATCGCTTGAGGATTATATTAGGATGAAAACGGTCGGATAAGGACAATGGTACTAGCGACATCACACAGGGCACGCCGGTATCGTTGTGGTAATCACCGGGGGCGAATTGGACCGCGAAGGAGAGGGGGGGGAGCGTCATGAAGTACGGGGCATTCGAGCCATAGCTAAAGTTCCATTGAATCCTTTTGTCATCAACTTGGGTGTGTCGGTAAATGTGCAAAGTAGAGGTACCGTCCATGTCGGTGCTACAGCCCTATCGGTCCTATGAATGGTAGTCCTTCGCCGAATTACAAGGCACAAGCTAGCCCTTTGGTTAATATCTGTCGTACAACGGCAGTGCGCATCCCCAGTAATGACCTGTAGCTGACGATTTGTGTAATAGTGTAAGCGTAGCAACAAGACCACGTCGTACGTTAGGGAATTCATAACGGGGGGGGGGTCGTATTAGCCGCTGAAAAGAAGTTGCCGGGTTGATGGACTTTTCTCCGGTTGTTGAGCAACCGCAGTTTTTCTCGTCTCTTGTGCTATATAGCACCCCCCGCCCTACCGATCGACAGCTATTTCAGGGGAAGAAGTAGAAAATTCTTGAGAAGTTTCGGAAAAAGTAGCGGCAAGAAGTTGGGAAAAGTTCGTAAGCTGGGTAGGATGGGGAAAGGAGGGCTTGTGCGAGAGGGCGAAACAGGGGGGGGGGGGTTGTTTTTCCAAAATTTCCCTTAGAGGTAGGACGTGCCCTGGTGGCAACACCGTCGTGGGAGAGAACAATTGCTCGGCAAGTCTTTCCTGTAAATACTCGTACCGGATGTAACCCTCAGACCATCCTTCGCTAGGATGGCAATAACGAAGCTTTCGGGTGCCTCTGAGTACGACCAGTTTCACTCCAACCGCTGGCTAGCGCACAACACCACGTAAAGAGTCTTATCTATCAAAGCAACTGTCGTCAAACCTTACGCTAGATAAAGGCATGATTACCTGGACCGATGACATCGCACCCTCCTATGCCATACCAGATGCCACCCCAGCTCTGTCTCAGGCATAAGGGGATGTAGGCGTGCAGCTTGTCTTCAACTAGCCCTTGAACTTCTCTCATACCGAAGGTGAAGGCAACGCCATCGATCAAACATGGTGGGTAATGGAGCTCAGATGTAGACTACAAAACAGAAATGAGCAGTGGAAGAAAAAGTAGTAAAAAAAAACCCGTCCAAAACGCCCTACATGAGGTCCCTTGACAATCCCTGCTCATACGAGCATAGAGGGAAGAGAAGCCGCGTTTGGAAAAGAAAAGAAATGGAAAGAGCTAGTAGTCGGGACCCTAGCAACTAGCTGGTAGCCACGGGGGTTAGCATGGGCCCCCATTGCCAAGCTCCCACAGAAATCTTGTATATTTCCAGTTTTTAAATGCGCTGTAGCCTCTTCAGCCGCCTACGGGACTGTCCGACACGTTGTCGATCTCATAGCTTCAGTTTATCGCGGAAAGATCTTTGAACAAGGGTCATCACACCTGACTCGCAATCGTTCCTTGCTACACCAAAAGGCCCCACCCAACTGATGTTGCTCTTAAAATATGTCCTTCCACAGCCATCGCATGTGATTAGATTCGTATAGCTCTTGTCCTAGTCCCCATCCCGAGTACAGCATCGCTATGAGAGACCATCAGCAAGTCGTATTGGATCGCTGGGAGAAGGGGGGGGGGCATGTTCGGCTTCGTGAAAATTTTTCCGATTATTGACTCTTCTCGTTCTTCGCGACTACACCCGAATGGTTTCAGAGCATGGCCCGTTTCTCTGTATATATCAGATGAGTAGCGGAATAAATTGTATTGTATTGTATTGTATTGACCCTTCTCGTTTCATCCGTACTACTGTCGCCGGGAAGCGGCAACGTCTTATCTCTTATAATGACATCGTAATGACACCGCCATATCACCCATCCAACGATGGCCATGTTCCATTCTCCAAATCTACTCCCATCCGCTTCCCACTCTCCTCCGCTCACAATAGCGGTCTTCAACGAGTGGAGCTAGAACCAAAGAACACGCTACCAGAGCACTTCTGATTCCCCTAGAAGTACGAAAAACATCCTCTCATCAAATCAGAAAGGAAACAGCATCGAATGGTTTCACCTCCGCTGCGCCACGCACCTCGCTCCCCCAACATGATGGGAGGGTGTGACTTTTGCGTGAAATATATGGAGCTGTACTTCTAACGTTCGAAGGGAAGGTAAAAGCACCATTACCTCCCATTCAGTACTTACCGAGCCTTGCACTTACGACTCCCAACTCTTCCTAACTAGCGGAAATACCACCCATCTCACTGACTTTTAGCATTTCATGCGACCATAGATATTGATCTAGCATTGTGAGCTGATTTGGGCCGCTAGTTTGGGTGATTCGCGGGTAGGTTTTGAACCTTTCGCAGGCAGTGGCTGAATAAACGCTGCTGAACGCTCAAATGGCTAAAGCAACGTGTGAACGCAACCTAACGCGCACTGACTTCACCAACATTTAGCTAGTCCACACCACCTCGTTCCTTTAGTCCCAAATACCCGTTCAGAAGCCTTCACCCCTCTAACTGAATGTGGTACAGAACGACCCCTTACAAGTTTTATATGAAAACTGAATGATGAATGCTTCACATTCGATAACAATAACCAAAAAGACCAGTAAGCAATGAGTCAGAACCGGTAACAAATATACGATTAATAGGAAAAATAATAAGGAAAGAAGAAAAAACACTTCATGGGTGAATCCTTAATGTACAAGTACGTGCTTGCTGTTGCCAGCAATGCACAAACAGTGAATTAGCCAATAACATGCATACTATCTACGCATTGTAGCGAACTTTCTGAAGATCGCCATGGTTGACGAGTTTTTCGTTTGCTTCTTCAATGCTGTTCACAGCAGCATTCCCCTGGTTTCTGCAAATATGATGCTCAACTGAAAGAACATACACCACCAAAAACAAGGCGAAACGTACGAGTTTGCAATGTAGACGTTGTGCCCACGCTTGGCACAACGATCGGCCACAATAAGTGGCGCAGGGACCGACACAGTAGATGTCACGATCTCGTGCAAGTAGCAAAGAGCATGTGTCATTCCTTCGATGACATCAAGAGGAATCTTGGAATCGTCAGCCAACAACGAGTATTTCGGTGTTTTTGCGGTACCCTATAACTGCTGCATCACTTCGTATAAATATAGCTGCGGGTACAAATTTTTAACCTGGAAAGCCGAGTGCGCGTTCAGGTAGAATTCGTTGATGACAGGCGAAACAATTTTAGTGTCGACAACTGTACCGGGAGGAATATTCTGTTCCACGGCACGATTTCCCGATATGTTCTAGAACACATTATAGAACTTTTATATAAGGGCTCCCTACTGGGGAACACTTACGGCTTTGTAAAGACGTTCGTTGTGATCCTTCGAAACAGCCAAAGCCGTCACACTAGGCTTGTAAGTAGCCGATAGTGATGTGATTCCCGTGTTAATCGCTTTCATGTACGTGTCGGTCACCTGAAATATTAAGGTTCACAGAGTGACCACACGCTCTTGCATAAATTTACCAATAACGACTAGATAGCCGTTCATTGATGTCCACACTCTGCGTCAGCCTTTTCAGCGACTAGCAAAGTGCATGTATCGAGTACCGTTTGAGCTTTCGCCTACATTCTGAGCGTCAGCGTGTCAAACGCCCGTCAGCGTTTTCAGCGATAAACTTTATCCATACTTTTTAGTCGCTGAAGACCCGAAAACGTTAGCGGACGCTGAAAACGCTGGTGGACGCTCACAACGCTGACATACGCTCAAAAGCTGCCGCAAAGTAAGAACACTCCCACAACAGCACGGCAACTACAGGTGTCCACAGTGTTAATTTGTTATGCGTCACGTTGTCTCCCAATAGAGAAGGAGCCTCAGTTACTGCGTTCAACTTTCACTGCAGATGGAGGAAACTTACAAGACTGAATTGTCCTTCAGATATTCCAGAGAAATAGAGCACAATGTGACGAGGAACAACGGTAGTCGCAGCACGGAATTTCTTCAGGATTTCAACAATCAGTTCACTTAGCTTTGCTCCCATCATCTACAAGATAATACATTAGGGAAGGATTACGGATTACGGAGAAGAAAAGGAAGGGGGAACTTTAGAAATACTTACATCTGACTGGCGTGGCTTAATGAACACATAGTCGCCAATATATTGCTGAGGATTCGCTGCGCAATTTGCTCCCCAGCCAAGAACAGAAGGCATCTGAACGATCAATAGAATGGGAATTATCTGAACCCTTCTGGTGGAAACCAACCTTGTAAGTCGCGCCGCGTTCAATGTCCAACTTCGAAAGTGGAGGGGGATTGGAGATTTCGAAGCCGACGAAAAGACGATCTTTGTCGTTCACCCACTTGTTCACGCTGGAAGTTATCACCATACACAGTCTAAAAGGAATAAGGAAACAAGGGACTTACGTATCACTAGGTTTTGATCCAAGCATCAAGTTATAGTTCATGCCACCAAGCTTCATGTTGATCTAAACAAGCTTCATTCACAAAAATGACGCCCATGCGCGCAAAAAGCGCTCACCTTCGCGACAACATTGTCGAGTGTCTGATTCTGGTTTCTATGAAGAACAGAATCAACTTTACTGCCCTTCACCTCTTGAGACACGATTTGATATTCGATTTCAAGAAGTTTGATCAAATCTAAAGTACGAAATGGAAATGCGTATTCCATGGTATTCGACGTGAAGCAATATTTGCCACAGGTACCGCACAGGTGCACGATTCAATGCAAAACAGATATCAAACAAGGCCTCCGCACTAGGGAAGTGCTCCGAGGTGGGTGAATCACTCTACATCAAATGCGGGAAAGATTCCTTTTATGCAAGGGCTGCTTCAACCACATCCATCATCTCTCATTAAGTAGTTTATTTGAATTTGGCCCCTTGCAACTCCTGCGTACAGCATCTGATTGCTTACAAGTCACACAGAAGTGCTGCTATCACTGAACGTGCGTATCCTATTATTGTCCGCAATAACTCACCGTGTTGCTTTATTCCATCAGAAGAGATGAACATCAAATATTGACGATTCTTTTGCTTCTGTGATGCGTAAAAGTCCTAAACACTGTTTTGATGGGGACGGGACGAAAACACGGATTTCAGATGATAAAACGAAGAGGCAAGTTACAACAACTCAGTCCTCATCACCAATCATACCACAAAACAGACTACAGTGACTAGACCGGCTTGATAATTTGCGAACCAGATGTACACGAGATCCAAACTTAGTAGAAAACAGTTTGACGGTGTTCAGACTTCGCGATGACACGCTTCAACTGCAACAGCGTTCCAGTTACACAATTCGATTATGCAGCGCGCATCCTCCTGTACCCCACATACTCTCGCAATGCACTGGTGCTCGATTCCTGACTGTGGTTGTGTTGTATATGCAGTCTCTAGCGCTTTAGAGTGCGTCGTCGTCATCGCAGGGTCCGAACGCTGCCTCTAGTAAGAAGACTTGCGCATTTACCAGTGACAAAGGATCAGATTGGGCTGAGTCAGGAACTTCTCATCCTCTACGTATCCTTTTCTTTAGAAGCGTTCTCCCCATTCGCATTCACTGCGTTCTCCATCAAATGGAAGGACCATGACAGAACTTTCAGCGTGCACAACTCCTACTCCCATACTCAAAACCGATCGCGACCAGATCACGGCGAAAAACAGCTAAGCTGCTTACAAGAAGCTCAACCCTGTTTCATCATGGTAGATTATCATTGCGTCTCGCATTCTGATAATAATACAGAAACCTCGATACACGAAAATAACAGTACCCGAAGACTTTCGAAGTTCTGTCTCTGATTCATGTAGATTTCACCCACTGGCTCCACCTGCATACCTCTGAGACGGCATCTACCCTCCACACGCTGCACATAGTCCCTTAAATGTTATTGATTTTAAAAAAATGTTTAAATAGAGGTTCCATCCAACATTGAATGTATGCAACTGACTTTATCTGTAAACGGCGAGCGTCATTCTGCGTCAACGTCGCACAAACAGCCCAGTTCGTCAGCTGAGCTGGTTCCAGGAACTTTGAGCGATCTCCATTCCACTTGCACTAAACGAATGAATGTGTATGTTCTTTTATCTACTGGTGAATAGCTGGCATCACCCACGTTGTCCGTCGGCTTTAATGTCTGCGACCCTCCGTAAACGATGGTTGGTGTCGGTAAAACACGAGCAGTCACCTGAACCAAAGGTAGATAGCATTTCAAATCTCCTTAACCCATGGAGATCAAATACGTACCGTTGTGAAATTATTCGCAACACTGATGCCTGCACTAGCGAGGTTTGGATTACGTGGAGTGATGTCCAAGGCGTCCTTCATTTTCCTGGTTTGATGCAAACGGTTATCGGGGAGCGTTGCGCATGCCTGAAACGGGTAACGATCTCAGCTGAAACGGCTTCACCAAGCAAGGATTTGGCTTGAGCTACCTTGATCATGGAGGCAACTTGATCGGGCGTCTGCTGCTGAAGTGTGACTCGCTGTGAAGGTGCAACTGTGAGCAGTTCAACAGGGTAGTAATTATGTGGATTGTGCCGCTCCGATACCGTAAAAATTCCTGGGCACCTAGGATTGTAATGAACATTCCTACACTGTTTACGCAGGCGCTTTCATTCCATTTTCATTGGACACAACGGACAACAAAAGTACATAAAACGCACTTCAATTGGATGTTGTAGTGCTTTTTGAAGTACTGCTCAACGGTGCATTGTCCGCCATCAGTGGTCTGGAACCTGCAAGATATTTTTATGCAGGGACTCCCAACTGGTATACCGGCACTAACATAGTTGTAGGGGAAAACGAAAACAGGCTTGTCTCATGCACTTCGCTTGGAACCAAAGCGAGTGGCCAAGAGAGTCTCGCGAAGAAGACATATGTCCAACAAGTCCTTCGTTTGGGGAGGGGACACAGCTGCTGAGTGTCCCCTCTCTCCTTTCAACTACCTTGATATCGTATCCCCTTGCATGTGACAAGGCACCCATACACAACTCACTTCAATGTATTGGCAGCAGCAGCAATGTTTCCAATCGGAAAAGTCCGCTGCTTCTTTCCATACGTTGTTCTGACATATAGACCTTAAAAACTTGCGTGTATTTCAAGTGATTGTGGGCATCTGACAGCCACTTCGCGCTGCGACGTTCGGTTGAGCGTTTGCGAAAGGAGAAGGAAGCGCGGATGGAGAAGAATGCTTGGCGGATCATACAAAATCCGATCGCAAGAAAGCAACTTAACCAACAGAACACACCTTTGATTTGCTTCAGAATGTTTTCCTTATTGTACGGCTGCATTGCTGTCCTTCACGGTGAATGTTGACTGGCCGGACCGTGGATCAATGAAAATGGACATTTGCGAGATTTTCTCGAGAAGATTTTGTTCATCCACATGGAAAGCTCCCTTGGTTACTAAACAAGCGTTCATTGCTGCACGTTAATTCAATCCCCTAACAAATGCTCACCATCTGTTACAACGAATGCGCTTCCTGTTTTTCCGCCTTCTCCCTCAAGAACCTTCACTGCCTTTGTCAAACCAACTCCCATATACTTCCCATCCATGAGGCTGGGCAGCTCCTCATCCCTGAGAAAATCGAAATCAAAAATACCATAAAAAAATCCTGCGATAGCCGAAAAGTTTAAAGAGTAAGAGTTAATACATAAGTTTCAAAGTCCTACAAACTTCAGGTAGGGACAACTCTCTTCCCGGAAAGCTTCTTATACAGTTCTGCCGAAAAGCGAAAATATGAACTCCACTTGAGCTTACAAGAGTATGCAGTTCCCGATATACAATTGACCTCTAACAGTATTCAATCACGCTGTCACACTTCCTGGACTGGAAACAAGTGGCAGGCGTATACTTCGCGGATTTGCTCTTTCTAATTGTTGACTGCCCAAAATAGGGGTACCTCCACATTTACAAAGTATGTACGCATTCTTATGCTACAAAAACACTAGCGACAGCTCCCAGCTGCACACTCGGAAGACCATTAAAACCGCTCCAAACCGAAATTTCCAGAACTTTAAACTTGCGCTAGTCAGAAGCACTCAGCACCTCATCCATACAAGCAGATAGATGGCTGCCATTAGAAATTGCTGTAAATATCATGTTTGGGTGAACACAACAATTTACCTGAAGCCCAGTTTTGTATGATCATACAGGTAGTGAACACCACAGCCATAAGTCACGAATTGTTCTCTGAAACTACGCCATATCACGATCAGAGAACGACTGCTACGGATTTTTATACTGTATTTCTCGGTTTCTGTACATATCAGCGCATACATATTACATCAAATATCCTGCTATAATTAATTCGCTAAGTAAAAAGCTATTCGCTAAGTAAAAAGCTAAGTAGTGTCTGTCAGTGTGTGTGTGGTTTTGTGCGTGCGTCCGTCTGTGTGTCACGAAATTCATAGCACCCGTCGCAGTGAGCGTGCAACGTTGGTTGGTTCCATGAATTGGTGAAGGGTCTGCTGCTTGGTATAGGGGAGCTGGTCCTACTTGTATATTATATAACTCACTAAGTGTATGTGGTGTGTGTGTGTGTGTGTGTGTGTGTGTGTGTGTGTGTGTGTGTGTGTGTGTGTGTGTGTGTGTGTGTGTGTGTGTGTGTGTGTGTGTGTGTGTGTCACGAAATTCATAGCACCCGTCGCGGTATGGTAGAGCGTTGGTTTTAGGAGTTGGGAACATTGGCGGGTGACAGAAAGTGACAACAGCTGATAAGTTACGTTGAATAGGACCTAGAACGGGAGTGTCACCTAAATCGTAACGCGGGTTACAGCAACAGTGGGACCTTGGTACCAAGAAATATTGTAGGGGGTGGGAGGGGAACACTATTGGCGGGTGACAGAAAGTGATAACAGCTGATGAGGCCTCGGGGAGAGGGTCACTGAATTCGTAACCCAGGTTCAGCAACAGAACCTTAGGTTTCATGAAATGATATAAGGTGTGCGACGGGATACTGGCGTGGGCAGAAAGTGATAGCTGCTAAGATCCAATAAGAAGCCTCGGAGGGGAAGGAACGCCAAATTTGTAACGCCGGTTTACAGCAATAGTGATGTTGCTGAGGGTGCATTCTAACGAGGTAATGGTTTGAACTTCCCATGGAACTTCAAATGGAGACCTAGGTACATCGCCTCCCCCGGACCGCGGATAGAGCCTCAAATGCTGGCTTACGAAAATGCAGATCAAAAGTGCTACGGGGACCTCCCAGACGAGATCTGGGTGGTCAAAGTTTGCGAAAAGTCAGTTTTGGCTCGTAAGCGCTGCTGATCGACGCCTCGGCAGTGCTACCGTGGCCTTGAGGTAAGGGTCTCGCTTTCAAACGCTTGCCGGTTTGCATCCGGTTAGCGCCAGAATTTTTGCGTTGCTCCCTATAAGAGCTTACTCTAATTTTCAAACTTCCGAGTTTACAGTGCAGCAGGGCAAGTAGATCAAGTACATCGATATATGACCACTCGATCTAGTATCTACTATGGATTTGGTCATATCTACCCTCTCTGAACATATTACCATCCGACAATTCAAAGTTTTGGAGAGAAACTCCTCTCATGGGAGATTTCGACCCCCTGAACACGAATATCACATCCTTCGGCGATGAAACGCTCGTCTGGCCAAACTGTGATTCTGGGCAAAACTTTGAATTGTCGGATGGGTAATATGTTCAGTTAGGGCAGATATGACCAAATCCATACCAGATCGAGTACGTCATAAACGTGATCTACTTGCCCTGCTGGGCTGTAAACTCGGAAGAAATTTGGAAACTAGAGTAAAAGCTCTAATAGGGAGCGATGCAAAAAACTTCGCGCTAACCGGGTGCAAACCCGCGAGCGTTTGACTTGAGAAGCAAGACCGTTACCTCAAGGCCACGGTAGCACTGCCGAGGCGTCGATAAGCAGCGCTTACGAGCCAAAACTGACTTTTCGCAAACTTTGACCACCCTTATCTCGTCTGGGAGGTCCCCGTAGCACTTTTAATCTGCATATTCGTAATCAGCATTCGAGGCTCTATCGATGCCACTAGGTCTCCATTCGAAGTTCCATGGGAAGTTTAAACCATTCCCTTGTAAGGAGTTATCCAGGGGGTGGGACGAAAACATTGTCGGGCGACAGGAATGATACCAAGATTTAGGTGGTGAAACTGACAAGCATGGAGGAATTTGCTACACCGCTCACAACAACACTACGATCGATATGACCCCAGCATCACGATCTCAGTATTAAATACAACTCTATTCCTATTCCTCACTGCTTATCGTTAACGAAATAATGTACAACCGCTAAGCTAGATGTTGTGAACAGCAGCAATTGACTTAATCACTCTCACATAATTATCTTTCATCAACAACCTTAGCGAGGGCCATTCGAAGCGTTCTACTGCTGAGTGCGGGGTCCATCCCAGAGCGACGCTTTCAGAGTGGAGAATGCTTTCAGCAATAGATGCTTTTGCGCCTAATCTAATAGGCTGCTCGGTTATAAAAGTACCGATCGGATAGCTGGCTAACGCCGGCGCTCCTCCTTTTGTGATGCGGCAGGAGCTGCTGCTGCTTCCGAGTTTTGACGAGGTGGGCGCTGCTTTATTGGGCTACTTTTAGGGCTTGACTGATAGAGGATTCTCCTTTAAGCCGTATGGTTGCTCAGCGGCTCGTAACCCAGCGCACGTGCCAAATCAAGCCAGGCCATGCCATGTCACAGAAGGAGGAGCGAACGGCCGGCGAAGCTAGGCCATGTCACAGAAGGAGGAGCGAACGGCGGCAGCTGACAGTAAGTAAATAAATAATAAAAGAAAATGGCATGATACTAACGTCTCCATGTATCCTTTTTGCGACACTGCAAGATTCAGCACTTCGAGAATGCCTTTGTCACGTTCGCAGTCACGGACATTCACAGCTTTATTCAGATCATTTGAAGTCACCTAGAAGATTGCAGATCACTTGACCCGCCTCTTATTCATATGAAAGGAATACCAAGAAAAGCCGATCGCTACGACCACAGAGCCTCGGGCAAACTTGAAGCGACTGCTATTTCCTGGGATTAGGATGGAATCACTTCATCGTTCCACCACGTCCCCCCCCCACCCCGCAACTGAGACTGTTCAGATTCTCGACAACATGTTTGCGAAGCATTTCCAACATGCCGGATTAGTTCTTAGTGCATTGCGGCGATCGATTGGAGACTGTACAGTGCGGCAGTCTTTTGTAAGGTGGTTGTTTCGCTGACAGAATAGGCACTGTTGTTGCTTGAAAGTCTTTGTACGTTGAGTTAGCTCTGTAGTGAACCTTCTCGAGGTCAACGACGCGTATCTGCTTTCAAACAGGGCTCTAGAGGAAACTTGCTCGTGGAGTTCTTCTAATAATTTTCCGACTGTTTGCTTTTGGTCGGCTGATGACATCTTCATACAGTCTTTTATGACATCATATGGGAATTTGGAGAGTATAGTGTCGATCCAGAGCGGATCGTGTTTCTTGCGGATGTCATATCCTGTGGCGACCATTTGGAAGACGAGATCATTCACTCTTTCGAGTGTATCAACACATTTTTCAGCCGTTAGGGTTGCCTTGGGAACATCGAGCAGTTGTTGTACTATATGTGATCTGTTGTTTGCTTTATTACCGAACTTCTTCTGTAGCACTTCAACGATGAGCCTGTAATTTGAGCTTCTCATCGGGATGCTTTTGATGGCTATCTGCGCCTTTCCTCGTATAGCATCTTTGAGGTATAAAATCTTTTCTAATTCACTAAGTTGTGGATTCTGGTCGACTATCAGGGAGTACGTATCCCAAAATTCTTCCCAAGAGTCGTTTTCGCCACTAAAATGTGGTAGTTTGATCTGCGGGTATTTTATTCTCAATGCTGGGGAAAATTCGAATTGTTCTTCTTGACGTTGACTTTCCCATAGTAGCGGTTGTGCATCGCTGGATTTTGGTTTCTGATTGCTATGCAGTAAACCGCATGGATCGGTCTCTTCGTAGTCATCCTCTGGTTGGACGACTTCTTCAGCCTGAGCCGCCGAGGATGCCTGTTGACGGGAAAGGTCAAGAATCGTGGCTTGGGTTTTTATCTCTCTTATTCTTGCATTGATTCCAGCAACAATGCTTTCTGCTTCTTGCTTCAGACTGCGAAAGTCGTATTTTTGTCTAAATTCTTCAATTTCGGTCAGCATGTCTTTCTTCTCTGTTTTTGATGCTTCACCATATATTTTCATTATGTTCTGATATACGTTTTGAAGTGCATATAACTTGTTTGTTACGGTTTCGTGCGCTGTTTGTAGTTGGCACAGTCTTTCTTCGCAATATATGCGTATTTGTGAGTGGTCCTCCGTAGGAGGTTCATTGGGATGGATAACTGACTTGTAGACTTCAGTGACCTCTTTCAGGCCTTTGTATTCATCCTCCATACATTGGAGGTGGAGTGTGATTTTGCTCATCTTTGAGTTCTTTCACCTGTTTTCTTTGAGATCAGCGGTTCTGTAGCTCAATAAGAGGCAGAACGAGCTGATTTTTGCCACGCGGGATAGGCTGGGTTGAAGAGGCCGATGCACCAAAGATTTGTCACGGCCTATCCTCTCTTCTCTCTAACAAAGGATGCTGACCAAGCTATTTATTTTGTAGTATCAAGTGAACAGTATGAGCGGCGGTGGCAGAGCTCTCGCCGGTCCAGCTCACCACTCCCGGCGCTGCTGGGTCAGCCGACTGCCGTCTGCCTACCCTTAGAAAAGTGCAGCTCCTCCCACTGTCCGGCGAGCGCTCTGCCTTGGAACGTACGGTAAGGAGCGTTGCGGTTGCAGGTGCATACCGCAACATAGTTTTGCTAGTAGTTCAAAACGCTGGCGTACGCCCAAAACCCTGACGCAAAGTACTGCAGCCTTAGCGCCCTTTCCTTTACGCTTTTTCTTAGCGGTCTCTATATTTGGATTGAGAGTCTCTCAACCTCACTTCTGCACCCATGTTATACCGTACACGTTGTTTACACCTTTAATACTGTTTCGAAAATTTGGTCAAAGCCAATTTCAGGCGCTCACCACTTTGCTATTTTTCATAGCATTTATTTGCACAGAAAAGAACCACATTAGGTTGGATGGGTTGAATTATAAATCATTTTTGGCAAATAGATAGGTAGGTGACACCTCGTTCAGACTTCTATATGAAATCGCTCGTGCGGCGAAGTCTGAACGCGGTACAATATAAGATAGATAGAAAGAGATTTCAGCACAGATAGAAAGAAGAACAAATAATCTCTATAACAAAATAAGCTAGATAGAGAAGTGTAGGAGTTGGAGCACGACGACTGCAGTGGTCTCGTCCATGGAGCTACACCAATGTCTGAACCCAAACCACACTGGCTGAGTAAGGAAGCTAAACATACCTGGTACCCATCTGTGACTTTTTTGATTACGACACGAATACCGGTAGCACCGCTACCAGCTGCTGACACCAGACTTGCGGGCAACATCATCACTTTTTCCTACAAAAACTGTTTCTAACAAAACCAACACGAGAAAAAAAAACAAAGGGAAAGCTAAGGTATACCTCTCCTCCGAGTTTAAGTTCCCTCTGAGCTGAAAAGAGAACAGCAGCCCTGTCATAGAAGAAAGTCCCATCCTTAGGGAAAACGTCTGCGCAAGACTTCAAAATATGCTTGTATACAGCTACCGCGGCGACTTTGCGTTCCTGTTCAGGGAAACTGAAAAAATTTTCTCAATTTACTATCATAGCAAACGCACATAAGGTACGATACGAAATAAGAAGCATACTCGTCTTTCGTTTGCTTGGTTAGTTCCTTCAAGTGCTCTCGTGCATCATCCCCCTTGTACACGATGTACATGCGCACGTCGTACTTATAATATGGCACATTGGGCTTCAATTCTAAATTGGACATCAAATCGTTGTGTATTGTAGACATTGAAAATTCTAAAAAGCTTACTTAAGGCAGTCAAGTTGGTAACGAGTTCGAATTTCGATCCGATTGTTCCTGGAGATCTTTTTTCGGGCAGCGCCACAGCTCCTACCTATAAAATAAACAGCTAATTTGTGATATAGTGCTTACTGCCTAGTTCTTCTCCAAGACCACTGCACTGCATAAAGAGAAATCTCAAATGTTTTTTTTTTCAAAAGTTCAGTTGAAACACCGTAATAGCACGCGTCCACAGTAGGACTGATCTTCGAGGAAACCAACTGCACATAAGAAATGCGACTCGCCTCCTCCCACACTGTTAGTGAAAGTCAGCCGTCGAGCCATTCCAGAACTGGATCAAGAAGACCGCGTCCATGTATCTGTATCTAGGGAAGGAGAACTGGAGGTTGCGCCCCAAGAAAGTATACGCATCGATCTGGTGAATGGAGAAATAAGGAAGATCGGAGTAGGAGCGAATCGAGAGAATGCGCGCAGAATGACGGGGGTATCGATCCATTACTATTCTGCGATTTTAACAAACCATCGGTATGCACTGATCCATACGCATCAACTCCCTTGGCGCACATTCTCGCGAAACCTCCACATAACGATTCTCCTGTTTCTCCGAAACGGCACAGGTAGCGGACTCTTCCTCTGGCAATCAAACTTTGCGAATAATTCAAGTACGGGTCTTCGATTTGGGAGCGGGGACCAACCTTTTCGAGATATACGCGAAAATGAAAGCACACGTACAGTACTCGACAACTGAAGACGTGGTGTCGTGACGTCGATTATGGCAAGACACCAACATGTTCGACAGATGAAGAGAGCAGAGATTGGTGAAATAGCTGGTGCAAATCCAAACACCGTCACATTGACACACCCTCTCCATTCGACTGCTGAGGGCTGTATCTATTGATCGCAGTATACTTTCTTACGATTTCATTGCCGACTGTCCCGGATACCCGCAGTGTGCGAAGACTGGAGGTGCTATGTGCCTCACAAGGGTCCACATCCACCGAGAATTAGTCATGTCAAGACTGCACGCCTGAGCTGGAACGCCTCAATAGGGCTTTTTCATACCAGATTACGATAATGTCTCACCAAATAGTGACCCCCTCAAGTGGTTACGTGACAACTAAAACCTTTAGTGCCGCTGCCAGGGCATCGTAGCTACCAGAAACATGAGTTGCCAGGAAATGAGTTTATGGAAGGAAGGCGACGCCGACGTAGATGAGCCACATAGTGTGCGTGAAAAGGTGGAATGTGAAAGG